CATAAGGATTCATCATTTACTTTATCGTGATTTATTCACAACTAATTAAATAAAAGTTTAATCTCTATCATATTACTACTGTTGCCTATGTTAATTACGATTTAACCTGTGCCCAATACCAACAAAAGGTGAATTATTTCTCACCATTCTTATTGGGCTTGGCGTAACTTAGCGATTAGAATGCCGAACTGTTAATCAAAAGATCAAAGTTCCGAACGGGATGCAGCTGAACATACTCCGTTCATTCAGCTCTAGGGACGTATTAAAATGGTATTATTCGACTCAAAGAGCAAGGAAAAACGTTTTTGACCTTTGGAGCTACTGACCAGCTGCTACCTTTCTTTAGGGTTTGACACGACCTGTTGGTTAGGGCGCTCGACTCTCATCGTTCACGTCATGAGATCAAAACCTGTCACCGAACATGCTCGTCTTTTAACTGTGGGGCATTATTATGTGATGGTCAATCCCAATGTTCACTGGTAAAGACCAGCCCAAGAGTAAGCGGTGTTGACTACCTGCCGTCCCTTTAGTCTATCACATCAAAATTAGGATAGCCCTCGAGTAGCTTTGCGTGAAATTCAACAAATAATCAAAACTCTCCTATTTTGGGTATTTTATATCTGTTGGCTCTTGAACTGGCTGTGTAGCTCAGGTTGATGATTTCAATAACATTTCCAATTTTGCCCAAGCACATTTCAAATATTGTTTTAAACTGACGAAAATAGTGTTAGGTTGTTAGGACGCTCGACTCTCAATTCCCGTAATCGAACATGCTCGACCTTTCAGCCGTGAGGGCGTTATAATGTGACGGTCAACCCCAGTGTTCGTTGATAAAGAGTAGCCCAAGAGTTATCGGTGGGTGGTGTTAACCGGCTACCTTCCGTCTAGTCTATCACTGCTAAATTAGGGACGGATAGCGCAGATTTCCCTCGAGGAGTGTTACGTGGAATTCAAAAGAATCCAAACGTGTTTTGGTTTTATTTCTCTATGCTGTTGTTCTTTTTGCAATAATTTTAAAACGAAGAAATAATAATATTTTTTATTTCATTTAAGAAACAATATGCATGCAAGAAAATAATTATTTTCTACTTCTAAGGTTCACTTGATGGGTTGGAAAAAATTTTGGACTTACAATGCTAAAATTCGGGGCTCGATTCCCCTCGGTGGACAGACCGCAGATAGCGTAATGTATAGCTTTGCGTTAAAAAATATTCTAAAGGTATCTGCATTCTTAAAAAGTTCAAACCACGAACAATTATAAATAAATGTTTTCGTAATATACCATATTTTTCGGAATATAAGATGCACCGATGTATAAGACGCACCCTTATTTTGAAGACACAAAAAGCTACAGTCGCATTTGAAAGATTGTTATTGACCAAAAATTCAATTTGATACTTTAAAATTTCGTATATATTTTTCTAAACACAAAAGAGCTCAAAACATCAAATTAAGAAAATATCGTAAATCAAAAAAAGGTTTACTGTTATTTAGTTTGGTTCAAAACCTACAAAATCTTCATTGCTTTCACTGTAATTTATTGTTTTATTATTTAG